CGACGTCCCAACTGGATAGTGAAACTAAAACACCAATATTCATCTTGAAACAATATTTGAGAAAAGTCAGGGTGGTGGAAACAGAGATATTTACAGTATACAATCCAGCAGTGCTCATTGAGGAGCTGGAAGTGGATCCGGTGGAATGGGCATGGAACATCAAACGTTTTCAAACAGAAACATCAAGGAGAGTAAATATCCTACACTACACCACAAGAATAGGGTATAAATTGAGGAGTCAATCTTACTCCGTGACACCGATGCTGCTCAAGAAATGGGAGAAAAGGGTAGGGGTACCCAGAGGACAACGGGCATGCATTCCTTGGGCAGACATTGGGGTGATACGGTTGGGCCCGGTTAGAAGCATGCAATGGCTAATTGCTCATGTGGCACTCCCAGTGAACGTCTGGCTTAATGAAAGAAGAAGCCAAACACAGAGGAGTGAGGAAAATGAGTTATGCAGGGTATGTCAGGAAAGAGTGCCAGAAACAATGCAGCATTGCCTATTGGAATGTGAAGAGGCAGTTGCGATCTGGGAAGGGGCCAGGGGTATCTGGAGCCAAGTAACAGAGATTGCTTTCCCAGACTCAAAGACTTCTTTACTGTTGGGTTTACAAATTCCCAAACAATGAATGGCATCCTTTTCAGAAAAACATGTTCCAGTTGGCAAGACAATACGCCCTCTGGACTATTTGGAAGCGTCGATGCCAGATCACAATTGAGGTTACAACAATGCATAGGCAAGAGGCGAGGGAGATTTTCCTAACCCTCACCGAAACACATCTCAAGGCCCAGTGGAAAGTAGTGAGAAACCAAGTACGTCAGCAGCCACAGCAAGAGAAAGAAATCATGAAATGCTTCAAGCAAAATGTATTAGGCAATGGGGCAGTAGCAACTATCCAGGGAGCACATTTGATGTTCAAATGGAGAGGAGGGTAATAGAAATTAAGGGATGAAGGACATTTGTGCAGGAAAAGGAAGACATTACAGGGAGGGCTTAGGATTTAAGGGTGGTAGTCCCCAAGAAAAAACAGCTCGGGTACAGGGAGGGCTTAGGGTTTAAGGGTGATAGTCGCCGGAAACAGAGGGGGGGTTAGGTTTAATGGTTGAAGTCAGCTGGCAAAGAATTGAAAGTAGAGAGGACAAGAGAACAGCCATTTCGTCAAAACGGACATATTATATTTTTTGAACGAAATCAAAACTGATTTTTTTTGCCAAAATCCGGTCGGAATTTTTTGCTCTTGGGGGTCCAGTGTTCCCAAAACGCCGGACCCCCCTGGTCTATGGTTGAGACCAGATTAAAAAAAA